CGCCCCACCCGCGCCTCGCCCCGTCAGCGCCCCGCCCCGTCAGCGCCGCACCGCAGAGCCAGGGCCACTTCGCAGGCAACTTGATCTTGTCCGACCACAGTGGGTGTGCACAGAGAGCAGGTCGGGCCTGCCCTGGTTTCCCGACTGTGGCTCTGCCTCTTCCCCCCCGAGTCCTGAGCTCCCCGCGACCCTTTCCCTGCGAGCGAGCTAAGGGGAGAGGAGGGGGAGGCGAAGCGAGGCGGGGCTTCCACCCAGAACACAAAGGGCACAACCCGGTGGGGTGCGTCATAATCAAAACCAGGGACAAAATACAGTTAGCTGTGCCCTGAAGCTGCCCAAACACCCTTCAGTCCCTCAAGACACCCCTGTGAGGCTTGGCGGCCCTGGAGGCTGGAAACTTCTCACTCTGCAAATTTGGTACCTGGCCTGAGGTCCCAGTAAGAGCCACTGGGGAGCGTGTGGGCCGGAGACCTGTACCCCATGAAAGCAGATTTCCCTGACTGACAGAACAGGCCAACTGCATTTAAACAGCTGTCAGATCGCCCTGCCCCCCGCCCCCCCATGAACACTCTGAGACCTTAGAATCATGAAAGCAGACTTCGTGGACGCCTCTGTCTTAATGAGCCTCCCGTGCTGTCTGTCACCTTTTTATTTCGTATAGACGTATTCGAGTTGTTCGTGTTTTTCTACGTTTTTTTTAAATTGTTACAATAAAAAATCAACTTTTTTATTACCAAATTTATTGTGAAATCGAGGGCAGTGGGCCCGCCCCTCCCCCACCCTCCTCGCGGAGGTTCTGGATCCCGGTGTCACCTGACAGTCAAGGAAGGGTTTTGGCTCAGGTGCGTGTGCGGCACGTAGACTACGTTCCTCCAGACGGAAGTGCTCTGCCCGCCAGAGTGTCCTGTGTTGAGCCGGTATCTTTTTAAACTCAGACAAGACTATTCTCGGCATCTGCTTCACGGGCCTGGACGTCGCGGTGTGTCTGTCTGGTGTATCCACCTGATGCAAATTAGGTGTCCGTGAGTCTTTAAAAGCAGAGCTTTCCTTTGGCAAGACAGAAAAGAAAAACTGCCCCACGCTTAAGTGTGCGAACGAGAAAGGCTGACACAAACGAGCCTTCCGGCTTCATGCCCGTCATCGGGTGTATCTTGAAAAGTAGTCGTAGAACCGTTTCCCTGGGAACAGGCACGTAACGCGGCCTCTCCTCATGGGCATGGAGCCCAGGAGCCTGTGGCGTCTGGAACACAGAGCTGAGGGTCACCGGGGAAAGCTCCCTAGATCCGGCACCCCTGGTCCCCATGTGGGGAGGACACTAATGCAGCCCCCATGGCCGCCAGTCTGAGAAGCACTTCTGCCCAAGCCCCCACACCCCCTTCCACTGCCTTGGGCACCCGCGAGGGACCTTCTCCCTTGGGTCCCCAGCAGCTGCGCCAGCGGCCGGCAGCCCTTTTGTCTGGGCCATGCTGGCTCTGAGGTATTTGATTACCATTCCTGCCAGGCACCTCCATCCCGCCCTGCTGACAGTCAGTGTTTGAGAAGAAAAGAAATGTCCTGGAGGACATGCACGGGGAGCCCTTGCCTTCGTCCCTCTCAGGGTACATCCCCTCTCCAGCCAGCAGGGGCCTGCGAACCGGGGAGGGCCAGGGCACAGGTGTGTCACTGGGCTGAGAGCAGCCTTCCTCCGCAGGGATGCCCGCCCGGGCAGCTTGCAAAAGCAGCAGACTCTGCTGCCACCTGCTTCCACAGTGCGGCTTAGCAGCCGGACGCGTGGCCTGGGAGCTGGAGGCCTGGAGAGCAGGCCTGCTTTGCACTTGGCCTCCTCCTGCACGGACGCAGACCACCCCACCCGCGGCTCACGGAGGGGCTGGGGCCTCGGGCAGGGGCTGACGGCCGATGTCCAGTTGCCCTCACTCTCTCCTTGCCTGCCTTTTCCAGTTCTTCTGACCAAAACTCAGTCCGAGCCATCCCTGGGCTGCCGAGGTACAGTGAGCCGGGAACACCCTCTGCCAGCTGCCCCTCGCATGGCCCCGGGCTGGGACATGCATGGCGTGACTGTGTGCGGGGTGCCGGTGTGGCCGGCGGCACCTCTGGGGGCGTCTTGCCGGCTGAAACGTGGCTGTGGGTTGGTTTCTTGACTCCCTGGTTGGCTGAGAGAGAAAGGTCTGTCGTCGGAGGATGCGCTGTGTGGCTCTGATGGGAAGAGGCAAAGGAGGCTGTGGTGGGAGGCGGGCCCCGTGTGGACGTTGAACGTTGGGGCGGAGCGGGAGGTGCGTGCAGGGGAGGCGCTGTTTCCTTCCTGCCTGAGCGTCCCTGCCCTCGAGGTCCAGCCTGTCGGCCGCAGAGTTTAGGGCAGTGTGGATGGCGACACTAACTTCCGTTGTCATAGACAAGTATGTAAATGATCAGTCCAGATTTTGATTTTATTCTGATACCTGTTTTTCATAACTTACACGTATCCACACACACGTATGATTACGTATATGTGCACACATGTACATAGACAGGCACACACGTGTGTTGGGATTTCAGTGAACCCCTTGGACTATACACACACGCACATATGCCAATAAGTTCATTAAAATCCCGAGGAGCTTTTGTATTTTTCAGAAATTTCTGTTCGCTTGTTAAAATGTTTAACAATAGAGTTATCTCTAGAAAAAATAAAATGAAAGCAGGGCCCCTCACATCGGTCTGGTGCCAGTGTGGGGCATCGTGCCGGACAGTGCTGTGGCCTGGGCCACCGTCCATGCTCCCCGTCGGGGTTTATGTCTCCATCTGGGGACAGTACTGACAAATACCACACCTAGAAGGATTCGCTTTTAAGAAGCACCACGAATGGATACTCGTTCTGAGCAGAAAACTCAGGTATATGAAGTTTTATCAGGTCTGGTTGCTCTGGTTTGGGGATATGGATGGTCTGAGGAGGTGACTCGCAAGTGCCCGTGCGCACGTGGCCTGTGACGGTGACGGGCACTCGGGGACACTGTCGTGCGGGCCTGGATTTCCTCCCGCCTCCTCTTGCTAACTTCGCTCTGGCCACTGACGGTTGTGACTTCCCGTGTTCTCATCTGGAACAGGGAGTGGTTGGGAGTCGCCGGTGTTTAGGGGTTCCTACAGCGCCCCCACCGCACCCCGAGCCCCACAATTCCTATTCGTCGTCTGCAAGTCACTTTAATGCTTCCGAACAGCGTGCGCTTTCCTGTGGGCTAAGCCCCACCTTTCCAGAACTTTTACTGGCCTCGCTCTGAAGACAAATGGGCTGCCCCAGGCCCAGCTCAGCTCGGAGTCCGGGTCCTGCTTCCTGCAGGCAGACGCAGGCTGTGACTGCTGTGCGAGGCGGGCCCTCTCCTCTCTGTGGGTCAGCCCTGGCACGGAGGGTGGTGACCTGCAGTCCTGTGGCAGTGGTGACCAGCCACTGTCTCTATTCAGGGAGAGAAACCAGAGGCTCCATTTTTGTGGCAATTTTCTGACCCCCATCGGCTTGGTGACAGAGCCTGTGTGCCAGCAGCACGTTCTCTCTCGTTCACCTGTTGGTCACTGTAGCATCATGCCTCTACTACGTCACGTCACACATCACTCAGGGTAGACGCACGCTGGGTGTGAATGCGCGTCCGTGCATGCTGGGGCGCATGCACACTGGCGCTCTGCAGTACTGTACCTTCCACCCTTCACAGCCCTGTGCCTGACTGGGGTCTCTGGTGCAGTGAGCCGTGAAACCCCGTGCACACGTGTCCTGGCATGGATGCTCGCCGTGTGCCTGAGGCCACCTGCTCGCTGGTTTGGATGTGTGTGACATGGTGGCCGCTGAGCAGCTCTGCCGGATGCGCCTGCACGTACCCAGGGCGCTGGCCCTCGTGACTAACACGCGAGCCTTGGCCGCTTACGGAACGACGTGGCGGGTGTGCGTGCTTGGCGTCTGTCCTGCTGCGTGGACAGTGTCAGCGTCGAGGCATGTTCCTAACGTGTCTGTTCTCTAACTGGAATGTGACATTCTGGGTCAGCGGCTGAAGAAGGTAACTGGTGGCCCCTGGTTTGGGCTGGCATTGGTTGGCAGCGGTGTGGGGTCGTCCTCCTGTCCTGCACGGACATTGACATTTCCCTCCGCTGGCCGTACCTGTGCCTCGGAAGAGAGCTGCGTGAGTTGATGCAGAGGCCCCGGGCGCGTCAAGGGCCAGTGAGCATGGAGGCCGCGAGGCACGTGGCTCCGGTGGGCAGACGCGGTCAGCAGAGCCATCTCCGCCTGCAGGTCAGGGCGGCGATCGGCGCGGTGGGGCGGTCTGCCCAGCAGGGCCGCGCCTCAGTGTTCGCCACCTCCAGGCCACCCATCTTCAGCAGTGGTCCCCACAGCTTAAGCATCCTGCGGGGGGCTCGTTGAGCACCAGGTGCTGGGTCCACACAGAGTTTCCGACTCGGGGTCTGGCCTGGGCTGCGTTGCCAGTGATTCTGACGCTGCTGGTCCCTCCTCGTCCTGGGAACCCTGGCCTTGGCGGGGCCGTCACCTGCCTGACGGGGGTGGGCTTCAGTGTCCCCAGCTGACACACGAGAGGGCCCTTTTCTTGCCCATTCTAAACCCTTGATGAGGAAAACAGCACGAAAGGGAGGTGGATGGGAGTTTAAAGAAGGGAGAAGCGGTAGGGGAAAGAACGGGCCCCGGAGAATGTGATTTGAAGGGAAGACGTTCTGGCCGAGGCAGAGGAGGGAACATCCGAAAACGCAGGCCTGGGGAGACCGGCCGCGGCGTGTCGCGGGCCACCGCTGCCACCGCTGTCACCGCCGTCCCGTGCTGGGGAACGAGGGGTTCCGCAGCAGGAGAGCTGTCCACTTACTCTATCTAGTGAGTGTTTCTCCCTCACTCGGAACTCTTAAAGCCGATGTCGTGCTCACGCCCCAGCCCCTGGGTCTGTGCTGTCCCTCACGGGTGGCTGTTGGTCACTGGGACTGTGTCCAGTCCAAGCTGAGATGTGTTCTGTGGTGTGCACATTGCAGTTTGAAGCCTTCGTACCAAAATGAATGTAAAATAGCTCAATCATTTCATATCGTTTAATATAAAATAATATCGAATGTCAACTCTAACTGAAAAGTAAAAATTTTCAAAACAAGAAAAAATTGTATAGCAATTACGTAATGGCATGAATAATATTTTAATTTTTTTTTCTTTTATTTTTTATGCCTATAGCACCTGGTCTTCCTAGGTGGTCTCCCATCTGAGTACTAAGCAGGCTCAACCCTGCTTAGCTTCTTCCGAGGCCAGCCATGGGGCTTGTTCAGGGTGGTGTGGCCGTAGACCGTGGACTGTGGCTCCACTGGGGCACAAACCCAGGACCTTCTGCGTGTAAAGCAGACGTGCTCACCGCTGCATAATAGAACCACATCCTCATGATAATATTTTAGATATATCAAATTAAATAAAACATATTAAAATTAATTGTACATGGTTCCTTTTGAGGCAGCTGCTATTTTTCTATAGGACAGCACTCGGAGAAAAATGCCGCCAACCGCCAGAGTGTCAGAACCTATAGCGACTTCAGAAGCAGGGCTGGAGGCTTTGAGACAGCTCACCATGCTTTCAAACAAAGAGTTGATGGGTTTGCTCTCTTACGAGAACTAAAACAAAGTTTTAGAGAATTTGTTGAGATTTTTAAAGTGAAGTGTCGAATGTCTTGTTTCACATGCTGACAAATAATTTAGTACTTTTTTTTCCCCCAGAAACCTTTAGAAAATCATCACTTGGCAACGATGAGACAGATAAAGAGAAGAAAAAATTTCTGGGATTTTTCAAAGTCAATAAAAGAAGCAACAGTAAGGTAATGGACTAAATACACATACGATTCTGTGTTATGTAAAAACGGTTTCTCCAGATGTTTGTCCTCCACCTGTCTGGGGAGTTTCGCAAGCGTATGTAGGGATTTGAATTCCTGCAGGTAAGGGGTGCTTGTCAGCGTGTGCCACACGACTGACTTGTGCTTCTGCACGGGAAGCCTGAAGCAGGTCCCTGAGCCGTGGGGTTTTACTCGCCAGAACGCAGGAGCCCGGAGCCCGCCTCTGCTGGGCGCGTGCAGAGCACACGCCTGGCATGGCCCGCGGAGGCTCAGGAACCTCGGGGCGAGGAGGGGCGAGCGTGTGGGACAGCTCAGCTCGGCCAGTGAGCCGAAGGGTCAGAATGTGGTTATCACATGTAAACAAGTACGTGGAGCCACTTGCTCCGGGCATTGGTGTGGCAGGGTGTCGGCTGCTGAGCGAGTCGTTGCTCCTATTTACACGTCCCTAGGGCCTCCCAAGGTGATTTGGAAATGTGCCTGCGATAAGTTAATATTATAATCTCATTGGTCTTTACTAAATAAAGCTTCAAGTCATCTTTCAGATACTGGGTTAGACAGATAGCCATAGGACAGAGAAGGTAAATAAGGGTCTTTGCAGTCACTTATGACATTCTCAAATCCAGGAACGCTTCTTAGCGACCAGAAGAAAATGCTCGTTATTTCCACTATTTTTGTGTAAAAGGCATATTTTGCTAATACCTACTATTTTCTCTTTACTAATAAACGAGACTGATGAAGAGCCATTCTGGGGACTTTTGGGTCCCAGGGCCACTGGCTCACTTTGCAAGCACCCAGCATCTGCAGTTTTAGAGGCAGCGTGAGGAAGGGTCACATGTGGCACGCACCCCCGTCCCTGTACCGTGGATCCGAGCCCCGCGCACTAGGCTGCACGCATGGTGGTCCCCCCCCGCAGGAGCCTGTGGGGTCACCATTGCGATTCACCCCAGCTCTGCTGAGGCCCCAAAGCACCAGGAAGTGAGGCGACATGCTCAGGTCTGGGGCGAGGCTGTCGGTGTGTGTGACCGCAGAGCCGGACCTTGCCCACGGCCGAGGGGTGGCTCAGAGGGGAGGACAGTGACCGTGCGGGTGGAAGCTGAAGTCTGAAGGGAGCCCGCGGCTGGACCACTGGGGATGGGACGCCCACCGTCTTGAGTTTCCCACAAGCCTCTCTGATGCTTTCGTTATGGTCTCGTGCTTCTCTCTGTCAGTACTGATTGGTCGTGCATTCCCTCATGTTTCCTGGGGGCCTCGGAAAAGCTGTGCCCAGGGCGAGTCTCTCTTTTGAGTCTCCCCCCTCCCCCTACTTCGCTTTCCTCCCCCCTTACAGCTGACAGGAGTCTTTGAAGTTGCAGGATCCGAATACTGTGCTTGAGTTTCCCATCACTCTGCAAATGCTGGGTGTGGGCTCCTGAAACGCTGAGCCGAAGTTGCTGGGAACTGCCTTTGCCGCTGTCCATGGTCCTCAGGAGGCCAGCTCGCTGTCACAGCCCGGTCTGCACACTCCTCACAGCCTGTCAAACTTCTTGTGTCTTCCTCATTTTGAGACATGAAACGGCCAGCAAAGCCAGTCCAAACTCTAGAAATGCTTTTGTTGTAAGCACTGTGTGACCCGCTAAAGTCACGGAGACTGGAACCTGGGGCCTGGTTTCCGGTCACGGGGCAGGAGACACTGTGAAAGCATGAAACCGCTGCAGGGCCAGTCGGGCTGGCCCGCGATGCGGAGGGACGTTCCTGCCTGGCCCGCGATGCGGAGGGACGTCCCTGTCTGTCCTGCCCTGTCTCTTCTCCGTCTTGGACTGGCTCGATTTATTCCTTCTTTCTCTCTCATATACCTTATCTTTCATTAGATCTGCCCCGCACATCGATTTTATTTATTTCACTCTTGATGTCCTGCAGTCACATCCTTGTTGGCTTATTTGTTGTAGTTTTGGGGATGAACGTCATTCCTGGTTTCTCTCCATCCGTATTGCTCGGGATGCTGTGCTAAATGCAGCCTCATTTAATCCTTCTAGAAACCTCGTGGGAGAGGTATCATTGCTCCATGTTACAGGTGGAGAAACCAGGCTGCTCCCCTCTGAGCTCACCGGGGTTCGGGTGAACCTCAGAGTCTAACCAGCCTGTCTGCTCAGAGCCCTCCACTTCGGCCTGCATGCTCTGTGCACATAGCTAGACAAGTTGGGTCTCAGTTTCTCTTTGTTAATTAAAGCGGGTTTGGAATAAATAATTTTCTAAGTGATTTCTAAAATCCTCTGGTGGCTGGTAGTCTACAAACATCTCAGAGAACAGGACACTAAGCATAGGGGCTCTCCAGGCACTTAAAGCCAAAGTGTGTCTTAACTACGTCTCTTTAAGAGAAAAATATATGTACACACCTGTGTGTATTTGTGTGTGTTGTGTCTGTGTGTATATATAAAACCTCAACAGAGAATATACTTAAAGGGATATCATTTTGGTGGAAGCGGATGAGGGCAAATATGTTTTATTGTTTTAAAACTCTGGTGTTTTACTGTTTTTAAAAAATGATAATTTTGTATGATTTTGACATTATTTATTCTCCTAACCCAGTAGCTCTTGAAAGTACCTAAGAAGCACCTTAAGACAATGAGATTCTTGGTCACGTCCCTGGAGACGCTCATTGGGGAGGCCAGGTGGCTCCCGAGAGCTGTATTTTCTAGTTAAACGGAGATGATTCTGAGGCCGGTCACCCCACCGTCATGCAGAATATTGTCTTAAACGATGAGGTTCGACATCGTTCTTATCTTTCAGGGACAGGGAGTGAGGTATTTGTGAAGTTTTTCTATGTACACCCAGTCGGTGAGCAGGGCAGTGGTCAACTGAATTCAAAACTTACAAACCCTCAGAACCTAGCTAATCGCTTGGTTTTCTGAGCTAAGTCCGTCAGCTCCGGCTCCTGCTGCTTTAAGATCACCTGTTTTCTAAGCGAAAGAGATGCTGGCGAGAAGATAAAAGAACTCTCGCCCCATGAGCGCGGGTTTAAAGCGCTTTCAGCCCAGCGAGTTTCCAAGATCCCAAGCTGAGCACGTGGCCGCGATCACAGTTCAGTAAGGCAGTGCTGCCCGGATGGCGTTTTTTGCCTGTGCAAGTGCACGGGACGACTTTTTCGTTGGCACTTACTCTCACCTGGAGGTGACATAGGGCGTGTGCGTCTGTTCCAGGTGGAGCTCGGGCTGCAGGCGGTGGATGGCAGCGAGGACGCCTCGGAGTCGGCACCGGGCAGTGGCTCCAACGTAAGTACCGACGTGGGCAGGCGCCCCCGGCTAACGGGCAGAACTTCTCGCTGCTTCGCACAGCTCCGGAGGATGTAATTATTGCTTAGCTGAGCTGGTTTTGTTGTTGTTGTTTAATGCACATGGTCAAAATAATTAAATCTTCCCTGCAAAGCTTGATTAATTTCATGTAAACTAAAGTTCGCTTTATTCCAAAATATAGGTCACTTTCCTAATCAAAGGGTCCTTGGATCATTGTAAATATAGTTGCCTCCCAAGCCATTTCGAGCAGCTTCCCTGGAATTTTATGTTTTTCAGGAAACTCTCCCTTCTGTATCTAGGCACAGTGTGCGGGTCCTTCCTGCCACACAGGTGGACGCTGAGACACAGGGAGGGGACGTGGGCGGTCACCTCGGGTGTGATTTGTGGTGGCGGTGGGGGGTGACCCTCAGGTCTCTGTCTCCACCCTCTGCTCCTCCCCTGCCGCATGTAAACAGCCGTGGTGACCGTGCACGCGGATGGGACAGGTGTGCGAGCTAGTTTTTGTTCAGCTCACAGAAATGCCACCTCCACAAAACACCATGTCCCTCTAACAGAGTGGAAAAGGGACCGGACGTCTAGTCCTGGTTCTGCGACTGTGAGATTTCGAGATCGCAAAGTGAACTGTTGGAAGTAACCTTTCCGGCGCCTCTTCCCTTGGTTCAAAAAAAAAAGTCAAATTCTATAAATTTGACTAGTCTAATGTTTGTCAGCATGAGCTTCATCAGCTACCATTGTGTTACTTGTTACTGGGACCCGGTAAAGTTAAAAATCCTTCGATCAGTGATTTAAAATATCACTGCCTTATTTACAAAAACGCCATCACCTGGGATGTTTCTCCATTTGGGGCTGCGGGGGGAGCCAGAGGCTGCCGTGGGGCGTCCGCGGCTCAGGCGTGGAGGCGGCGCCCACTGTGCTGCCGAGCGACTCGGTATCCGGAGCCCGGGTGTCGGGTGCCATGTGGGGGCGGGGCCTGCGCTGGGAGCCCCGAGTTCACGGGGGCGCCCCCCCACCCTTAAAGCGGTAATATTTTTGGAAAGAAATGATTAAAAACTAAGACGTAAAGCGAATCCCAGGGCTGCAGCTGCCCCGGTCCCCGTGCTCGCCAGGGTCCTGTGTGGCTGCCCAGCTGCGCGGTTAGGGGG